CGGCTACCTTCTAGTGCCAGCAGGCAGATTGAGCAGCAGGGCAGTTCGGGGCAGAGATTTGCGAGGGAGGACAAGTTGTCGCTTGGTTTTCCACGTACATTTTAGGGAATCACAGGTGCTAACCTCTACTGAGCAGATGAATTCTTTGTTTAGGTGCATTATTAACTACAAAACGAGGTGACTGGAAGAGAGGAGTGGGAGGGATCAGGTGGTGATTGTGGCAAAGCTGATTTGATTAGCACAGGGGCAGCAGACTGACTTTAGAATTGGCAGCAAAGGAAGTGGCTGGCTAATCGATTCTTTTGTGCAGCAGGGCCTCCAATTTGAGGCCTCTGGGGGCACGCTTAGAAGACACACGTGATAATATTCTTGTTGCTGGAGGTTCCGTGTCACTGCCGGTGGCACTTTGATGCCTGGCCATCAGTGACAGAAAATTAAAGAGAACCTCGCTACTTTGATTTCTCTGCAAGTGTTTAGAGCATGTAGCTAGCTTAGCTGTATATCTCTCTCACTTTGCCTACGGCCTTTCCTTTTTTTTTTTTCTTTTGTAATTTCCTGTAAACAGGCTTAGCTGCTACACTATGGCTAACTCGATTCTTTTGTTGGTTTAGCCTGGCGCTGGTTAACGTTTAATTCAATCGCGATTCATTTCCTTTTCGGATGGTTGGTAAATGGTATATGTTATGGTGGTGTTGCTCTCAACTGTGGGTGGAATGTTCTGTTGGCATGATACTGTTTTCTGTCAATAGGAACAACTCGGACTTTACAAAAGAGTGGAATGAAACTATTAATGACAAGTCGGTTTTTAGAAAAGAGTGGAATGAAACTATTAATGGCCTGTTTGAATATAAGAGCTAATTTCTAGCTAATTAAAAATTAGCTCTAGTGCCCTAAATAGGAGGAGCTTTCTAGTGCATCCAAACAGGAGTCTTAGGTGGGCTAATTTTTCTTTGCCAAGTCGTTAACGAGCCATAGCTAATTTAATTTAATTTTTAGACACAACTAGTATGCATTCAAACATACCTAAAACAAAACTCGATAGAAAAAATCTGAAATACGTCATTATTGATCTAACTGTGATACTGTAAACATGAACGGGCTGGGGAGAACTGTGAGGGCGTCCCCAACAAGGCGTTTTGTACTAGCGATTTGGTGCTTAGAATCTTACGTGGAGAGACTGCTGAAAAACAAATCGCCAGCGCTCGGCTCGTCACCAGTCTCGCACAGTTTTTGAAGATTCTAGTGTCTCTGCTGTCTCAGGGCCACTTCACCTGTATTCATTTTTTTTTCGATTCTTTCCGGTGCCACGTCAGGCTGGCGAAGTCGCTAGTGCCACTGCCGACGCCCTGAGTGAACGAGTGATGAGGCACAGGACTAGGACATCGAGGTTTATCCGCCAGTTATAACAGGAGAAGGATGAGGTCAACTGGTCAACGAAACTCACTCGAGTGGACCGGCACGTGTCATCTTCATTCTCTGTTCGCTGGCGTCCCCGGCGCACCTTCTACTGTGCTTGTCGCCCACTAGTGACCACTTTCCATCCTCCGCCGTTGTGGTCGGTGGACGGTGGCGCACTGGCGCCGCTCTCACCGTTCCGACCCGCCTGCCAAACCAAGTGACAACAGCCATCGACAGCGATGAGATTGGGTTTGGACTCGAGGATGTCGCGACAGGAAGACAACTAAGCTTTGGGCCTAAATACAAGGCCCAACCCAACACACGCACGCACTTTGGCAGGCAGCAGAGGCAGACGCTGGAGCTCTTCACTTCTTCAGGGTTCCACTCCACTGTCCAATAATGAGGATAGGGCCAGCGGCAGCAGCAAACATGGCTGCTTGCTCCTCCGTTCCCTGCTCCTTCCCCACCAAGCCAGACCCTCACCGCCGGGGCCGCAACACCCTCCCAAGCTCTCATCTCCCTCGGCTCCCTGCTACCCAGTTTCGTAGGTTTCGATCACTCTCGTCCGCCGCCGCGCCGCCGGCGAGTCGCCTCCGCCCACGAGCCTCCGTGTCCGCGTCGGCCGCCCCGTCCAAGGACTACGAGGCAAGTACTAGTAGTTTCTTATCGGGGATTGCTTAGCTACCTGGTGCTCATGCCCGTAAGTACTCCGCCTGCAATCTAACGCACCAGATTATGTCACCTCGCTCACTCTCCGTTGCTCATTTAATTCGTCGTGTACCAACACTAGTGTCTGCAAAAGCTTGAGCACCGCTTTCTTCCCATTACCGTTGTTTACTGGAGTAGTTGACTCTGCATAATATTATGTCCTGTCAACGAGTGTTACAACTAATCCAGCTCTTGATAGAATGGTAATGTAGTAATTCCTACGGGTTCAGCTGTCCACGACCGAAACAAAATTACGCATACTGATTGGGCAATCGTGATTACTAGAATCGATCAAAAGACAACGGGGAATGCTAGTGCAATCATTATCGTTAGCAGCATGGAAGTTAACCATGCTCTCCTATGGTTGATTACTCCGTGTTTCTGAAACAGGTTCAGGGCAAGCTCCCATCCCATACTGCTTTACTGTTCCTCTCCATGCGCATATAAGTAAGTTTAAGACCACAGGGAAAACAAGTGCCGAATACAATCAAATCAGATAGAAGAATAATGATAATCATATTTGTTGTTTAATTTGCTATGAATAACTTACTACTGTTAATTCATGACAAAAAAATTCACCTTGTATTGTCTGTATAGTTCACTGATGGAAACGGAGAGGTTGAGCTGAGACTGGACATCCAAAAGCTTGGGATAGAGAGTTCGAGAGATGTTTTTGTTGACGTCAATGATACATCTCTACTGATCAGAGCCAAGTCTGACGGGACACTGAGGACTTTGATGAATGTCCAAACACTGTTTGATAGGATTAAGTCTTCCGAGACCATATGGTATGCATCGATCATCTAGTATCGCACTCTTACTTGCGAGGACGTATTTATTTGCTCACTCTACGTCACAGGTTCATCGATGAGGACCAATTGGTGGTGAATCTGAAGAAAGTAGAGCAAGAGTTGAAATGGCCTGATATAGATGAATCCTGGGAATCCCTTACTTCTGGGATCACCCAGTTATTGACAGGGATCAGTGTCCACATTGTTGGTGATTCCACAGACATTAATGAGGCAGTTGCTAAAGAGATAGCTGAGGGCATTGGGTGAGTGCTTCTTATTCCTTTCTTTCATTCGATTGCTTTCCAGTTAGATACCATGCTGTGCAGATTGCATTCTAGGCTGAATATTTTCAGAACATGCAAAGTATGAATTGGCAAACTTGATGTCGGATAATCTACTCATGAATCTGTCTCCATATTTCATCATGGCGTTGCAGGTACCTTCCGGTTTGCACAAGTGAGCTGTTAGAGAGCGCCACTCAAAAATCGATTGATACATGTATGATTTTCTGCCTAATGGCATTTTATTGATAACATGATGTGATATCTGGGCTATCATATTTGACTAAAATCCAGCGTCGATCTAGTCATATACGGTCAACATTATTGTCACTGAATAACATGACGCTGCACTTGTAGGGGTGGCTTCCGAAGGAGTGGACTCGGTAGCTGAAGCAGAATCAGTTGTCTTGGAAAGCCTTAGCAGGTTTTTTTTTTTTTTTCACCCGAGCCTGCTTTCTGTAGCCATAGCCCATAGCTGATGATTCTGATATAAGATATGTATCCGTTGCAGCCATGTCCGCACTGTAGTTGCAACTCTGGGGGCAAGCAAGGAGCAGCCAGCAGATTCGACCGATGGCAGTACCTTCATTCTGGGTTCACGGTTTGGCTATCGGTGTCCAACGCAAGTGGTAAGACTCTCAAGCCATTTCCCCACATTGGTCTGGAGATTTCACCGCATTACCTTACCTTGAGAGGCTGTTCGTGTGTGGTGTTATCCAACAAACAGACGAAGCTGCTGCGAGAGAAGAAGCCCGAAAAAGCGTGAGCAGTGGAAGCGTTTCATACGCGAAGGCGGACGTGGTGGTGAAGCTTGGCGGGTGGGACCCGGAGTACACGCGAGCTGTTGCGCAGGGCTGCCTCGTCGCCCTCAAGCAGCTAACCTTAGCAGACAAGAAGCTGGCAGGTATGTATGCATTCACCAGATGATCGCTGGGCTGCGAAAGATCAGCAGTTACCTTCCACGAGCATGAGCTTGCCAATAACATCAAGATGCAGGCCCACATTGTGCAGTACTGATGTCATGCTTGTTTTTGTTGTGTTATTTGATGGGGGAACGAACAGGGAAGAAGAGCCTCTACATCAGGCTAGGTTGCAGAGGCGATTGGCCCAACATCGAGCCTCCAGGCTGGGACCCTGAATCCGACGCCGCACCAACCAACATCTGAACCATCCTCTGCCTCCGCGCAGTTGTATTCCAAGAGCAGCTCCAGTGTACTCCTCGAATCGAACCGAGAGAAAGGAACGTTCGATTTAATCGAACCGTGCACAATGATAAAGAATTCTCTGCATCACCGTTTTAGTTAGCCCGGACGTTCTTGGGTGTAATTTAATAAATATAAGAGAGGGACTTGTAATCTGTTGGCTGATGCATAAAATGAACTCGACGGACTAACTCTTAGCGGCTACCACGGGTGCAGAATACACAAACGACAGGCAGCGAGAGAAACTCAAAAACATAGTATATCATATTATTCTATATATAAATAAGACCAACATTAATTAACAATGCTCAACTCTGCTACCTTAGAAAGGCAAACAGGAAGAGGTAAAAGGAGCCCTTTTCACTGACGAACCATTCCAATGGTTCAAAAAGCACCTCAGCTGCATGCATAGTTTAATTTGAAATGAAAAATGAAAAAACACCAGATACAATTTCCTCACCAACATAGACTCCTACGACACAGAAAGAACAAACAGCAGCCACCATACAGACTGACGCAAGAGGCTTCATGGTTGATGCTTCCCACAGGGCTTTATGTCAGCAAGTCGGCTGGTTCCTCCCTTCTGCATTCCTCTCCTCGCCCACCGACCGACACCCACCTCACGGTTTCGCCACCATCTTCGCTGCTGATGCGTCCAGTGCCTCACGCCTCTCCACTGGAGGTAACTGCAGCCAAAAAGACACAAAAACAAAAGGATTTCCTCAGAAAACAGTTGAAAAAAACAGGTTATCAAACCACTGCTGTTCTGATGCTCTTGAAAAGTAGCTTGTTCACAGCAAAAGATAGCCTTCACAAGTTTGGTGCGTGGCGGACTGGCGGTCCATCCCGGAACCCCACCAGCTGACACACCTTACGGCTAAAAGGATTTCAGGCTTTCAGAAAGAATCCAAGAGAACTGTATCAGCAAGGTACAAGTAGAACAATTCACACCTTATCTTGGAGACGCATTATCGTCGATATTAGCACTCTATCACCAACTACATGCCTCAGCTTCTTTACAAGTTCACCTCGGCTTATTTTCTTGATCTGGCAAATAAACAATCATACAGATACAAGTGATTTTGGATACAACAGAAGGGAAGGTGACTTCAGTCAAAGGAGAGAGAAAAAAATGTATCAGACCTTAAACTCTTCATAGCAACTAATAACCATGTCCATATTCTCAGGAGACACTTTAGTAGAGATCGCTGCAAACAACATGGAGAAAGGCATCCAAGGTGAGCTTGGAGCCTTTTCCATCGAATCTCCTAGCATGGGGGCTGCACATCCACCTCCCAATGCTGGAGGTGCCTCCAGGTTCATCTCCTGTTTTATGTATATAAAAGGAAGTTGTTAAGTGGTGCTTTAACCAACTCCAACATGACTAAAGTAGCATGGTTTCACAGGGAAACTTATCATATTTGGAGATTTCTATCATAGATAACGAATATAATCAGCTCCAAGTTATAATCTCAATAACGCAATCACAAGTCAATTATTGAGTCAAATCACAAAATCTGAATTACTGCACTCTTGCTGCTCCAACAGTGGAACTCGTCTGTATATCAAGTTAGCAACAGGAGTTGACTCTAGTGTTACAGTACTATCTTGTTAATACCCCATGTAAAGCATCTTACCTCTGAAATACAGTCGGGTGAACTAGAATTCAACACCAGTGACAGATCAGATGAATTCTGACAGTCTTCTTGCGTAACGAAGGAATCTGACACAGAAAATGCTTACCAGTAAGGCAATTTGGGTTGCCACAGATCAAGAAACAAATAGACTAAACTGAAGACATGGTAGCTGCGATTAGTTACCTTTGGTTTTAGAAGGCAATTTGACGATGACTACAAACTCAGAATAGATGTGCCTATTCATATTCATATCCCACACAATGTAATGTTGTGGGTTTTTTAAGGTCATCTACTCCACTATCAAAATAGTCACTACTAGGTCGGTGCTGATTAGATCCAGGGTGAACTATTTCTACGTTCCCCATTATAACACGGCACAACATCATATGGACAATGCCATTTTCATCAACATCAGAGTATTTCACACTGCAGAAAGTAATACAAATATTGAATTTGGCAACGGTTAGGGAAAGGAAAATGAACTTGGTGAGGAACAAGAATAATAAAATGAAACAGTAATTAGTTGCTGTCATCGATCTAAAAGCGTCTGAATAGCATGTCAGTAAAAAGAAAGTAATGAACTCAGGAGTGTGCAAACACCTGAGACATAGATGAAAACATAACGGAACTTGGAAAATGTGAACAGCTAAGAAACATAGATGAGATACGAGAGTTAGGTGCCAGCAACGATTTGGAAAGGGGGGGAGGGAAAATCCTGACATAAATGGAACAATTGATATATCAAGAACATACCAGGCATCAGAACGATTTGCTGGTGTAAGGAGGGTGCCCTCTCCATAGGCTGCACACTTAATGGGCGGCTTATGAACTTGTAAAACACCATTCAGCATCATTTCATGCACAGTGCTTTTGGAGCAAGGAAGCCATGCATAACGGACATTTGCATTTCCACGATGACATCCGGGTAACCTGTACTTGCTTTTGGTGAATATGGTAACGGACTTGTTTGTGGTCATCCAATAATGGAGTCCTGAAGATTCCAATAATGTCCTTGGATTCAATAACTGAACCCATCCCCTGCAAGAACAGCTTCTCCACGGCTTCAATAGTGCGCTGAGCACGTGATACCTCACCCAGATTAGCTTGGTGTGGTAGTAGGTTACAGACTGTAGGCAACAAAGTGCATGGCTCATTTTCTCCAATAGCTTCTCCCATATCACAGTAATTTTTTATGATGGAATTCTTTTCAGCCCTAGCTCTCTTAGGACTGGAAACATCTTCAGTACTTGAATCAAAGTTTGAGCTTTCTGCAGAACTTTCTGATGTTCCAAGCTGGTCATTCATTTCTCGTGTCCCATTTGGCTCAACACTAATGTACTCAGGATTTCCGTTGCCAAAATCTTTCTTGATAAATAATTTCTGATCTTGCATAAATGATTCCGGGAAGTAGTGCTTTCCATTTTCATCGATCCAAGCAATAGGCCTCTGAAGACCTGTCTTTGTGTCTATGAATGTCATATGGGCAAAATCCAGCAAAAATAGATGGTTCTGATATCCTGTTTCTGTGACCGTCTTTTTCGCCCTGAAGTCGGCTTGGGCCAATTTGACAATCTTTTCTGGAATGTCTTTCCAGACAGCACCTTTGCGAAGCAAAATACGCTTAGGTGGTGCACTACTCATGAAGTTCTTATAGCTCTGCAAAACCTGCTTGTTGAAGTGGCACACGATCTTTGCCTTGCGGTCTTGATCAACATGAAACCTAACAGCAGAATCATTGACAGGGTGCTGATGCAATTCAGAGGTGCGGAATACGTCAGTATCATATGCAGCGGGGCTCTCCCGCTTTCTCTTGGGACTATTTATGTTCCTTCCACATTTACCCAATGCCTTTCCGTTCATCGCAGCCATTATTGCTAGCAGAAATGAACACGAACCAGAGACTAATTCTTCCAACCAAGCTAAACCCGAACAAGTCTACTATTTACACTAATCTAGTAGAGAAGCTTCTGAAGACGCTCAACCTCATAACGGATGGGCATAAAACGAAAGAGAGTCGGAAAAGAAACGAGAAACGACAGAATGATCCTGCAAAGGGAAAATCGACAGAAATCAGTAAGATATATTGTTGCTGCATTTTAAATATATACAACAGAACAATATTGGATTACAGCAGGACACTCAGAAAAGGATTAACTATGGTATCGATTTTGCCGTGAGAACCTAGAGAAACCAATCTTAATGCTGTCACCAGCTGTCATATTAAGCATGGCCAAACAGATTATAAAAGTGCACATTTCTTTTGTCGTGGCGCAATAATGTCTTTCCATGCAAAATAAGTCAACCAATTGCCAACGATGCCTAGGTTGTGCTGCAAGCATATAGACAGGCAGAGAAGCTTTTACTTCATATTTGGTATTATCAGTCATGACGGTCTGCGGCTGGAGAGGGAACATGATACTTGTACTAACATACAGATAACATGGTTACGAAATAATCTATTGAGTGATGAATTAAAACACCAAATATTCTCTTCCATGCACAAATTAGTAGTTAATCATGAATTTAACTGAACATGGAGCAAGAAAACTTGTACTATCTTTAGACCATATCCCTCGCATATCACATGGCAGTGCAGTAAACGACTCAAGTAAACATCAGAATAAGGTGCATAGGGTAAAATTCAGCAGTGCAGTATGACTCAAGTAAACATCAGAATAAGGTGCATAGGGTAAAATTCAGCGGAATTCTGACAAAATCCACTCACTTTCCCCATGGAAAGTGTTCCACTCGTATCACACGCAAGGATTTCAGATACTTTAACAAGTAATTATAATCAAACAGAACTGCAGTCGGAGGAATAAAAAATTGTAATTTTGAAAAGTCAACAATACATATAAGAATCAACTTGGTGATCTCAAATCTGCTTTAGCCCCAACAATTCACATCTTCATCATAGCACATATAATTGACATCCAACATATCCAACATGAGAGGACTACAGAAACGAAAAAAAAGTTTCCAAATCGAAAATACATATATACAAGGTGGATCCTCTTCGCCGAGCAATCAGACAGTCAGAAAAAGCAGATCCGCCCATCGACGATGCTTACCTAGGGTTAGTAGTGGGAGCGTTAGCAGGGGCGACGGCGGACGAAGAAGAATTTAATTGCTTCATCTCTCTGTATCCGATCCCTTTTGCTCCCCCTAGGAGTCCCCTACCGACCCCACTTTATCCCCGGGCGATGGCCGGAGGTGGGGGTTCTCGCCAGAGCTTCTTCTTCTGCTTCTGCTGCTTCCCTCGCCGGCGATATTGGATTGGTTAGAGGTGGGAGCAGCACAGATCGACCGACGACGGCGGCGGCGCAGGGCGAAGGTGGGAGGAAGGGTATGCGGCGGTAGAAGAATAATTGGACACGGAACGGAAGAGATGAGGGCGAGGTCCACGCACGCGCCACGGCTTTGGCGTGACCCCACTTGGGTTATTATTATTCCGGTCTATCCTCACCCACCGCCCTACGTCCTGAATCGCTCACCGACGCATGGGCCCGGACCCACCTGGGCGCGGGTACGCGTGGCGCTAAACTTGGATGTCAAGCTGCCCTGCCCTTTCCTTGCGCCGTAAGCAAAACGCCAGACGCCGTGATGCCGACGTGCCTGCGCCCATGTTTAGTTCCCGACCCAAAATTTCAAAAAGTGCTACTCGAATCTTGCGATACGTACATAGAGCATTAAATATAGATGAAAAAAAACTAATTGCACAGTTTGGTTGGAAATTACGAGACAAACGTTTTAAGCCTAATTAGTCCATGATTGAATACTAATTGTCAAATAAAACGAAAGTGCTACAGTAGCCTAAATTCTAACTTTCAACCAACTAAACATGGCCTGCATCGGACGGTTCACACATCCGGTCAACGGTCTCTGTCCCCACACCAGCCGCATCACGACCGTCCAGACATTGCAGATTTTTAATTTTGTTAAATTATTATAAATTCTACTAGTTTGCCTGCGTTACTCGGGCAAAGGCGACGTGATGACGTCGGATTCTGATTTTTTTTCTTCCAACGTTCAGATTTGCCTTGGCAGCCTATCGGTGGTTTCAGTTTTTTTAATAAAGTCTATATAATTCATGGTACAATACAATTTGCTGGCTGGTGTGCCCGTATGTATAATTTTGGTGAATTGCACTTGCACGTCGTGTTTCACGAATCTACGGAGAAACCTGGCTCACGTATATACTTGCCTTTTTCTACGCGTGGTTTCCTATTCCATGGCTAGGCACTACACCGCACTATGAGAAAACCAAACATCATTTCCATCAGCATCGTGTTGCAATTTCATTCTAAAGCGACACCTAGTAAACTTTCGTAAGTGCTATCTTATCTTAGCTCCTAAATTTAGTAGCTTTTAGTTTTTTTAGTAACTTTTTTGTCAAACACTATGATTAAATGTGATTAAAAGGGCTTTAGTCCTCTCTAGTAACTCTAGAATTACTAAAATTGACTAAATCATTTAGTAACTCTTAAAATTTAGTAGCCCAAACTAAACACCCCATTGTACTAGCTACAAATACTTGCGCGGAGAATTACCTTCCTCTGAGTCAGTACGACTGACTGCGGAAGCTGAGATCTTTATGCAGCCAGGTATTGGGTAGTACTTTACCTAACTATCGTTGATACGGTGGGATTGCTTGAAGTCTTCAAGTCTTGTTGAAAAAAATGGAGATACGAAGATAGAACGTTCGGATTAATTCCAAAAGTGACACAAGTGTCATGTCTACCCAATACTAGTAGCGATACTATAGTTATACATCTTCAAACAAGACATACAAACTAAAATAGGCGTTGTCACCTAATATTAAGACTAGCCTCGGTGATATCTCATATCCTAGTTTTCAAGATTCCTTCATGATCTAATTGCTCGAGAGCCTGTCAGCGTCATGGCACGCTGAAAAGTCCTAATGACTAGATGGGGTGAATAGTCTAATAAAAATTTCTACAAATCACTCGAGCAAGTGTTAGTAATTAATTCGAAGCTTTTTGCACTAACTTTAGTCAAGGGTTGCAAGCCTTCTATCCAATCAATTCTAGTTGATTACAATCTCTAGGCACACAATGTCTAAGTCTCTACTCTATTAAGCTAGTGAGCTAGCCAACACTAATTACTTCTATCAAGAACTAGCTAGCGAACTAATCCTACACTACACAAGAGAAAGCTATACTAGCTACCACAACTACCACTACACAAGTAGAAATGAATTTAAATACAAGAGTGATAGAGATGATATACCAAACGTGGCAAGAGACAATATGATCACCAAGTGAAAACCAAAGAGGCAATTGACACACAATTTATCCCGAGATTCACTTGCTTGCCAACAAGCTATGTCCTCGTTGTGACAGCCGATTCACTTGGTAGTTCGCGAGCTAATTGGCACCATGCCAAGCCCTTCACTAGGGCGCCGTAAGAACCTACACAAGATGGGGGCGCTCAATGTCACGAGCAATCCACTAGATGTGCTTTTGACGCTCCACCGGTGAATAAGCCCAAGAACCCCTCACAAATCCATCAGGAGATGGCCACGAACAATCATCAACTCATGCCAATCTCCTCAAGCTGCTCCAAGCTGTCTAGGTGGCGGTAATCACCAAGAGTAATAAGAAAACCACACCCACAATGATCCCCAAGTGCTACTAGATGCAATCACTCAAGCAAATGCACTAGGAATCACTCCCAATCTCACTATGATGATGAACCAATGAAAGAGATGAGTGGGAGGTGTTTGCTTTAACTCACAAGGGTGTATCACTGATGAAAATGTGCAAAAAATGAGCTAGAGCCGGCCACTATCTATTTATAGAGCCCCCAAAATAATATAACCGTTAGGGTCACGCAGGGGCGATCGGACCCGCCTGCAACGTCCGAACCGGACGCACCCAGCAGGGTTCGGTCCATGAATTTGTGCCACGTGGCCTCAATTTTCAACCTTGGCCGTAGATCTACAACGGTCACTTAAACAGTCTCGATCGTCACCTCTAGACCGGACTCACAGTCCCTTGGTCTGGTCTCAAACGTTGTCAAAGTCTGGTCACAAGCAGTGAAGAAACAGAGAACTCTAGGATGACCGGACCCGCCGAAGCAAGAGTCCGGTCAGCGCCAAAACTACATCGAGAGGTTCCAGACCAATCGGATCGCATCCAATGCTCCATTGTAGCACCCGGTTTTAAGGACAAAACCAGATACACACCATATGTGAGCCCAGGAAGTCAAATCTCACATATAGCTACAAATAAAGGTAATATCAATAGACAATGCTTAATATATAACATACTTAGTATAAAGGATATAACCTTAGACAACAAACAGCGGAAAGACAACTCCGATCTTTGGGTGAAGACTCCAATTCCACAGGGACAACTGACTGGTTGTGTCGGTGCAGAAAATGACCAACACGTAAATACTTGTAGTTTTACCGTATGTTGTGATCGGATGTGGCCTAGCACTCAATGACACATGGTTTATACTGGTTCAAGCAACGTGCCCTATGTCCAGTTTGAGTCGGTCGATGACTTTATTCCTGAGCCCAGGTGCTCAAAGTTTGCTATGGGGTTACAAACGGAAGGGAGAAAGATGGGGGGTACAAGAGGTCCGGTCGGACTCTGGTCTGAAGGGCCGAGAGTGACGGGAGCTCTGCTATGTGCTAAGTGTTCGAACGTTTGTTGTTCATTGGGATCCTTGGTCGTTCGGATCGTGTGTGTTGTTCGAGTTGTTGTGGACTGATTCTCCCCTTTGGGAGAGAGCACATCCCCTTTTATAGATTTAGGGGATGGCCTTACAAGTGAGTGAGAGAGAGAGTGTACGTATGCTAAGTCTTGTTGCCCACGCCGTCAGGTACAAGATGATTATAG